TGTTCTATATATATCTATTAAGTTCATCTGGTCTAATTTTTCATTTAATTCTATTATTTCCTTGTTGATTTTCTGTCTGGATGTTGTGTCCATTGGTGTTAATGGTGTGTTGAGGTCCCCTACTATTATTGTATTGTTGTTGATGTCTTCTTTTAGTTCTGTTAAGAGTTGCTTTACAAATTTTGGTGCTCCCGTGTTGGGCGTGTATATATTTATAAGTGTTATGTCTTCTTGGTGGAGAGTCCCTTTTATCATTATATACTGTCCCTCTTTATCTTTCTTTATCTGTTTTGCTTTGAAGTCTACTTTGTCTGATATTAGTATAGCAACACCTGCTTTCTTTTGTTCATTATTAGCTTGGAGTATTGTCCTCCATCCCTTCACTCTGAGTCTGTGTTTGTCTTTGGGGCTGGGGTGTGTTTCCTGGAGGCAGCATATTGTTGGGTCTTGTTCTTTGATCCATCCTGCCACTCTGTGTCTTTTGATTGGGGAGTTCAATCCATTTACATTTAGAGTGATTGTTGAAATGTGGGGGCCTACTGCTGTGATTTTATGTCTTGTTTTCCAGTTTTCTTCAATGTCCTTTGTTTCTCGTCCCATGGTTTAATCTGTTCTGATGGAGAGCTGCTACTCTCTGTTGTTGTCCTTCTACTTATCTCCTTTGCTCTTGGTTTTGTAGCACCTTTCCTTTTTTTGATTTTTCAGGAATGAGGGTTTTCCTGAGCATTTCCTGAAGAGGAGGTTTTGTGGCAATGAACTCCCTTAATTTTTGTTTATCTGGGAAAGTTTTTATTTCTCCATCGTATTTGAAGGATATTTTCACTGGGTAGAGAATTCTCGGCTGTAGGTTTTTGTCCTTCAGATTTTTGAATATATCATTCCACTCTCTTCTAGCCTGTAAAGTTTCTGCTGAGAAATCTTCTGATAGCCTTATGGAGGTTCCTTTGTAGGTTATTTTCTTCTGCCTGGCTGCCCTTAGTATTTTCTCCTTGTCGCTGACTTTTGCTAGCTTCACTACTATATGCCGTGGGGTTGGTCTTCTTGCATTGATAAAGTTTGGAGATCTATTGGCTTCTGTCACATGAAGTTCCGTTTCTCTCCCCAGGTTTGGGAAGTTCTCAGCCATTATTTCTTTGAATAGGCTTTCTGCCCCCTTCTCCCTCTCTTCTCCCTCTGGTATACCTATAATCCTTATGTTGCATCTCCTAATTGCGTCTGATAATTCTCGGAGAGTTTCTTCATTTCTTTTTAGTCTTACTTCTCTCTCCTCCTCTGCCTGCAGCATTTCTATATTCCTATCTTCCAAATTGCTAATTCTTTCCTCCATATTATCGGCCCTACTGTTCAGTGCGTTTAGATTTTTCTTAATCTCCTCTATTGTGTTCGTCATTTCCAGTATTTCTGTTTGGTTCTTCTTTATAGTATCAAACTCTTTTGTGACATAGCTCCTGAACTCGTTGAGTTGTCTATCTGAATTCTCTTTTAACTTACTGAGTTTTTTAATGATGGCTGTTTTGAAGTCATCGTCATTTAGGTTATATATTTCATTTTCTTTGGGATTGTTTTCTGTGTATTTGTTATTTTCCTTCTGTTCTGGAGATTTAATATATTTTTTCATATTGCTTGATGTTGTAGATTTGTGCCTCTGCATAGAGATAGAGTTTAGTTACTGCTTCCACTTGTTTCTACTGGTGTGGTGGGGGAACAGCTATTTATACTGCACCAACCAGGAACCCTATCAGCTGTTGCTAACCGGGCCTGGGCCCCTCCTCATAGTCACAGTGGTCCTGTCGGTTCCCTCTTCAGCTGTGGAGGCCGTCACAGGGGGGCTTCAGGCTGCTGGTGCCTACTGTTGCAGACCACCTAGACGTGCTCCCTCCTTGGGGTCTGCAGCAGTGTTATGGGCTTTTCCAGCGGCCGGGGCAGGATCACTTATATTTGCAGCTCCATCACTGTCGGTGCCCACAAAATCTCACTTGTCCACTATGGGTCACAGCAGAGCTATGGGCATCTTCTGCAGTCTGTGGTTAGCTCACCTAGCTATGCTACTTTTGTCCCAGGGTCTTCCAGCCTTGTGGCTGCCGGATGGATGCTCTCTACTAGTGCTGTGCAGAGGCTTTCACTGAGGCTGCTGTGAGACTGTAGGGTTTCCCCCTGGGCTACGGAGCCAGGCTGCTGGAACTCCACCCAGCCCCAGTCCTCTCCCCCAAGATCTCTGGGAGCCCCTTGCCCTGTCTGGGGGACAGCCGGAGGCCTTGAGTTCAGTGGCAGCTGGCCAGCTGCTGCCCTGCCTGGTATTCTCCTCTCCAGGACCCTCCCGGTGTTGTGGATGCTGGGAGAGGCCTCTCCACTAATGGCATGTAGAGACTTTGCCTGCTGCCAGGGCGGAACTCTGGAGTATCCCCCCCAGGCCACAGAGCTGGCCTCTGGAGCTCCACCCAGCCCCAGTCCTCTCCCAGGAGATCTCCGTTAGCCCTGAGCCCCAAGCCACGATAGCCACAGTCAGTGGGTCCGGCAGCAGCAGCTGGCGGGCCGCCGCCCCATTTGGGATTCTCTCCGGGACCCTCCTGGCATTGTGGATGCTGGGTGGGACATCTCCGCTATTGGCAGGCAGAGACTTTGTCTGCTGCCCAGGCGGAACTCCGGAGCTTCCCCCCTGGGCTGCAGAGCCGGCCGCTGGAGCTCCACCCAGCCCCAGTCCTCTCCCAGGAGGTCTCCAGTAGTCCCGAGCCCTGCCTGGCAGTCAGTGGGGCCGGCAGCGGCAGCTGGTGGGCCACCACACCGTTTGCAATTCTCTCCGGGACCCTCCCGGCATTGTGTATGCTAGGCATGGCCTCCCTGCTAATGGCGGGTAGAAGTTTTCCCCGCAGACTCAGGTGTGTAACTCTGGAGTTTCCCTCTGGGCTTAGGTGTAATTATGGGGGGCTTAGGTAGGGCTCTGGTCACCTGTTTCCACCGTCGCTCCTCTGGTGTGCACTCCCTCCTGCCCTAGGTGTGTGTCGATGTTCTGGGGGCATCCGCTGGAAGAAAGCCGCTTGCAGGTACTAGGCTGCTCGGGGTCGGAGTTGGAGAGTTTTCACCTATCTCCACCTCCTCCCGGAGAGAAGTCCGTCCGCCTTCCGATGTATAGCAGTGTGGGTCTCTCAGGCGTCCTGAGATGCTATATGAATATTCTTTGTTAAGCGATGAATGTCCAATTAGTTGTAGATTCGAAGGGGGAGAGACAAAGAAGACTACTCACACCGCCATCTTGGATCTTCCCTCGATAGCATGGACATTTTAACAATAGTAATTCTTCCAATCCGTGAGCATGAAATATCTTTCCATTTATTTGTATCTTCTTCAATTTGTTTCATCAATGTCTTGTTGTTTTCAATATAGAGGTCTCCACCTCTTTGGTTGAATTTACTCCTAAGTATGTTATTCCTTTTGATGCAACTGTAAATGGAATTGTTTTCTCAATTTCTCTTTCTGATAGTTCATTGTTAGTGTATAGAAACGCAATAGATTTTTGTATATTGATTTTGTATCCTGCAACTTTACTGAATTCATTGATTAGTTCTAACAGCTTTTTGGTGGAGTATTTAGGGTTTTCTATATATAATATCATGTCATCTGCAAATAGTGACAATTTTACTTCTTCCTTTCCTATTTGGATGTCTTTTATTTATTTTTATTGCCTAATTGTTCTGGCGAGGACTTCCAATACTGTGTTGAAAGAAAGTGGTGGGAGTGGGCGCCCTTGTTCTTGATCTTAGAGGAAAAGCTTTCAGCTTTTCATCATTGAATATGATGTTAATTATGGGTTTGTCATATACGGCCTTTACTATGTTGAGGTACATTCCTTCTATATCAGCTTTCTTGAGAGTTTTTATCATGAATGGATGTTGAATTTTGTCAAATGCTTTTTCTGCATCTGCTAAGATGATCATATGATTTTGTCCTTCACTTTATTAATGTGGTGTATCACATTGATTGATTTGTGGATGTTGAGCCATCCTTGCATTCCTGGAATAAATCCCACTTGATCATGGTGTATGATCCTTTTAATATATTGTTGAATTCAGTTTGCTAATATTTTGTTGACTGATATCTTTTTTTCTATAACAATTGTATTGAGATAATTCACAAAGCACACAATTAATCAATTTAAAGTGTACAATTCAAGTGAAATTTTTGTTTAAACTTAATAATATATCATGGACCTTTTTCCATCTCAAAAATTATAATTCCACAGCATCGCTTGTGGCATGGTATTTCTGTACACATCTGTATCATTGCCTAATAATTCCATATTTTCACATGAAAATTGTTTCCAATTTTTTTCTTATCATAGAAATACTTTGATGATCATTCTTACAGCTAAGTCTTTGTTGACATTGCTAGTTTCTGGAGCTGCTGAGACAAAATATATGCACATTTTAAAGGTATTAATACCTATCACCAAAGTGTTCTCAAACAAATTGCACCAGTGAATGTATACTCCCTCAAGTGTAAGAAAATTTCACCATTACATTTTGATTCTTCTTTACTTTTACTTTCAAAGGGTACTCACCTGAGTAGAGGTACAGGAAGGTTATAACTGACTTCAAGATCATCAAACATCATTATGCACCATAATGGTTAGTCTAGCCAAAAGGAAGCATTGGTTCTTTGGGGGAACCAAACATCCATAGAAAAATTACAATGGGGAAGGGCATCAGGAGGATCTGGAATATGGGAAGTAGCCATATGTGAGAAGATCCAGTGGAAGTTTCGATGTAGGTCACCTTCTGCGACTTGTGACTTGGGAGGAGTGATGCTAAAAGGAAGAGCAGAGGACTGGGGTCCCTGAACCACCCACTGACAGCTGTGCTAGGGCTGGCCTTCGAGCTATGGAGTCTTGCCAATACTATATTTTAGCCTCCTAGCCACTTCTAGGGGAGGGATTTCAACTGATGAGAAAATGAAATGCTTTTTTTCTACTGGGTTTTCAGTACGCTGTTTCTATTTTCATTTAGACCTCTCATAGACTTGGCAATTCCACCCAAGAGAACAAGTCAGTATCAACCTCAACTAGATCAACAAACTCTCATTCGATATATTTGTTTTCAAAGACGTTCAAAGCCTGTTGAACCATGGTATAAAGAAACCACGTACCAAAGAGACTATTCTCTGCCCTTTTACAAGATGGGTAAGTCAGGTCAACTGCTTTTACTCTCTGAGATCAGCCTCACCTGGGCAACAGATGAGCACCTCCCATGGGCTTGCTGTCTCAGAGAGCATATCTGGGACCAGTCAGATTCAGGGGAGGGGTATGCACGTGTGACCAGGTGCAGGAAGAGCTTAGAAGGCAGCTCCCAGGGCTGCTTCTTCCTCTCCTCCTTTCCTACCTTTCCATATAGAACTTCAAGGAAGAAAACACATAAATGTCCTTGCTAAGAAGCAGGCTCAAGTCTGACCACTACTTACTGAGCCCCTTGTCACTCAACAAATTTGTTATTGTGCCTAAACATACTATTGAGGGAACTTCTTTCTCATTCTCTTATTTTAAATGGTTTTGTGACAATTATTTCACATTTGGAGTCATGTTTCAAAAATTCTAAATTCCCTGTGTAGTATCTCTCTATCTCTCTATGCTGCAGCATGTGTGAGAATACTGGGGGACCAAGGCTCCCCCACAGATCGGACCCTGGGGGTAGACACATGGACATCAATTTAGACATTACCTTCCTGTAGTCATTGATGCTTTGAATTTTAGTACATTGAATGAATCACTTCACTGACAGACTTTCTAAATGAGTAAACCATGCTATTCCTGGGGCTCTCACACTGTGGCAGGCACACATTTTGTCCTCATAACAGTTCTCTGAAGTAAGTGATATTATTTTCCCCATTTCACAGTAGAGAGACCAAGTTGCAGAAGCAGTTAATTAACTCGCCTCACATCATACTGCAGTAGGTTGGAGAAGCAGAATTTAGACCCAGGCCCTTTCACACACAGAAGGCAGCCAATCTCTGTGCCTGGCCTTTAAGCTCCCCTGTGCTGTCACAGCTCAGTGTCACTGTACTGCTATTTATTTAATAGTTTTCCTTAAAGTAAGTCATTTTCTTTTTGTTTAAAAAAATCAGAAAACTAGTAGAAGGATGGTGGGGTGCAGCAGGTGTGGGGTAGGAAGGACCTGCCCTTCCTCCTTTTCCCCTGAGAGAAGGGCTGCAGACCAGATAGAATACCAGGCAGGGCTGGGACTCAGGTTCCAAGGGAACAGCAAACGACCGCAGTCAGCGGGGTGGGAACCAGCCAGGACCAGGCAGATCTTGGGAAGGCTGAGCCAGGGATGGGGGGCAACAGATGAAGCTGTCATGGAGTCCAGAGATTGACAGGAGGGGTTTGGGATAAGAGGTTACAAGCAGGGCAAAGATGGGTTCTGGGAGATGAGAGAAGGTTGGAGCCTGAGAGGGCAGAAAACTGAGGGAGTGGAGAGGAGGCTGGTGGCCGAGATTAGGTCATTCAAGGAAGGAGGCACTGGGAGAAAGTGTAGGCTTGTAGGATTTGGGGTCTCACAGGGGCCTTAGGGGGATTATGTTAAAAGGAGCCAGGGCAGGGTAGGGCATATGTTAGGGCTGAAGGATGTGTGAGGCCTGGGGGAATAGAAGCTGCCAGGAGTTGAGGAGCAATTGGAAATCAGTGAGCAGGGAGGGTCACTGGGCCCCTGTCCCCACAGAACTGGCTGAGCAGCTTGTCCTTTCAAGGTTGACTGTGTATGAAATGTCTCCTTTGTAGGAGGGAATTTAGGGGGCCTCTAGTTTCCAAAGTGGTTGCAAACAGGACCTTCTTTGCAATTCCTCTACTATGAGGAAATTTTGTTAGATAGACACAAAAGATTTTTCTCCCTTGCTTATTTTAGAAGACAATTCTTAATTCTTTCCAAATCTGTAGAACCAAGTGAATGTTTAGCAAAGGAATTCAAGATTTACCATCTACTATGTTCCCAGCATTGAACAAGGTGCCACGAGGGAGATGAAGGGAAGTCCAGGCTATGATCTCAGCTGCAGGGAGCTCACGATCTAATTGGGCAGACGAGGCAGGAACCAACCTATCAGAGAATGATTATGAGCAAGCAGAGCAGCAGAAGTTGAAAGATGAGATCACTGGGCTTCAGAAGAGTGGGAAAACAGGAGGCATCAATGGGGAACTGAGCTGAGTCTTGAAGGATAGGATTTGCATGGTGGAGAAGAAACAAGGGGACACCACAGATGGGGACACTGCAACTAGGGGCAGTGGATGGGAAGAAGGAGGCTGAGGTTTGTGGTGGGTGGCCAAGCAGGGAGGAGCCCTGTGATGAGGATGCTGGCCTGACTGGTAGAAAGAGGGAGTGGAATTAAAATGAGGACTGGCAGAGTAGGATAGAGTGCTGGAGTTGAAGGAGTTTGGAAAGTTGAGTTTGGACAGTCAGAGTCATTGTAGGATCAGAGTCAAAGGAATGACCCAGTCAGATGGGGAAGAAACTAAAGGAGGAATCAGAAAATATCTGGAGACAAATGAAAAGGAAAATACACCATACCAACTCAGATGGGATGCAGCAAAAGCAGTCCTAAGAGGGAAAATCATAGCAATACAGGCCCAGAACAAAGCCCAAAGTCAGCAGAAGAAGGGAAATAATAAAAATTAGAGCAGAAATAAATGAAATTGAAACCAAAAAAAAAACTAGTAGAAAGGATCAATGGAACTAAGACCTAGTTCTTTAAGAAGATAAAATTGACAAACACTTAGCCAGAGTCACTAAGAAAAAAAGAGAGAAGGCTCAAATAAATACAATTAGAAATGAGAGAGGAGAAACTACAACAGACACCACAGAAACACAAAGGATTATAAGAGAATACTATGAAAAATATGTGCCAACAAATTGGACAATCTAGAAGAAATGGAAAAATTCTTAGACTCATACAACCCCCAAAACTGAATCAAGAAGAAATAGAGAATCTGATTAGACCAATCACAAGTAAAGAGATTGAAAGAGTAATCAAAAAATAAAAGTTCAGGACCAGATGACTTCTCTGGAGAATTCTACCAAACATTCAAAGAAGATTTAATACCTATCCTTCACAAACTCTTCCAAAAAATTGAAGAAGACAGAACACTTCCTAACACATTTTACAAGGCCAACATCACCCTGATCCCAAAGCCAGACAAAGACAACACAAAGAAGGAAAATTTAGGCCAATATTGCTGATGAACATAGATGCAAAAATCCTCAACAAAATATTGGCAAACTGAATACAGCAATACATTAAAAGGATCATACACCATGATCAGGTGGGATTCATACCAGGGACACAGGGATGGTTCAAAACTCACAAATCAGTCAATGTGATACACCATATTAACAAAAGGAGAAACAAAAACCATATGATCATCTCCATAGATGCAGAGAAAGAATTTGACAAGATCCAACATCTGTTCATGATAAAAACTCTCAATAAAATGGGTATAGAAGGAAAATACCTCCACATAATAAAGGCCATATATGACAGACCCACTGCCAACATCATACTCAATGGGGAAAAAACTGAAAGCCATCCCACTGAGAACAGGAACAAGACAAGGATGCCCACTGTCACTACTCTTCTTCAACATAGTACTGTAGGCTTTGGTGAGAGTAATTAGGCAAGAAAAAGAAATAAAAGTTATCCAAATTGGAAATGAAGAAATGAAACTCTCACTGTTTGCAGAGGACATCATTCTATATATAGAAAATCCTGAAGAATCCATCGGAAAACTATTAGAGTAACAACTGTTGCAAAGTTGCAGTGTACTAAACCAACTTACAAAAACCAGCTGCATTTCTGTACTCTAACAACAAACTAACAGAAAGAGAACTCAAAAATACAATCTCATTTACAATTGTAACAAAAAGAATAAAATATCCAGGAATAAATTTAACAAGGGATGTGAAAGACCTATACACTGAAAACTATAAGACATTATTGAAAGAAATTGATAATGACATAAAGAAATGGAAAGTTATTCCATGCACATGGATTGGAAGAATAAACATAGCTAAAATGTCCATACTACCTAAAGCAATCTACAGATTCAGTACAATCCCAATCAGAATCCCAATGACATTCTCCATAGAAATAGAACAAAGAATCCTAAAATTCATATGGGGCAACAAAAGACCCCAAAGAGCTAAAGCAATCCTGAGAAAAAAAGAACAAAGCTAGAGGCATCACAATCCCTGACTTCAAAACATACTACAAAACTATAGTAATCAAAACAGCATGGTACTGGTACAAAAACAGGTGCACAGATCAATGGAACAGAATTGAAAGCCCAGAAATAAAGCCACATATCTATGGACAGCTAATCTTCAACAAAAGAGCCAAGAACATACAATGGAGAAAGGAAATTTCCTTCAATAAATGGTGTTGGGAAACCTAGACAGCCACATGCAAAAGAACGAAGGTAGACCATTGTCTTTCACCATATATAAAAATTAACTCAAAATGGATGAAAGACTTGAAGGTAAGACCTGAAACCATAAAACTCCTAGAAGAAAATACAGGCAGTCCACGGTTTGACATGAGTCTTAGAAGGATCTAGAAGGATCTTTTCAAATGCCATGTCTACTTGGGTAAGGGAAACAAAAGAAAAAATAAACAAATGGGACTTCATCAGACTAAAAGCTTCTGCAGGACCAAGGAAACCAGGAACAAAACAAAAAGACAACCCACCAACTGGGAGGAAATATTTGAAACTCATATATCCAACAAGGGGTTAATTTCCAAAATATATAAAGAACTCATACAACTCAACAACAAAAAAACAAACAACCCAATCAAAAAATGGGCAGAAGATATGAACAGATATTTTTTCAAAGAACATATACAGATGGCCCACAGGCACATGCAAAGATGTTCAACATCACCAATCATCAGGGAAATGCAATCAAAACTACACTAAGATATCACCTTACACCTGTTAGAATGCCTATAATCACCAAGACAAATACAACAAATGTTGGAAAGGGTGTAGAGAAAAGGAAACCCTCACACATTGCTGGTGGGAATGCAGAATGGTGCAGCGCCACTATGGAAAACAATATGGAGATTTCTCAAATCATTTTAAACAGAAATACCATATGACCCAGCTATCCCGTTACTGGGTATTTATCCAAAGAACTTGAAATCAACAATTCACAGAGACTTATGCACCCCTATGTTCATTGCAGCATTCTTCTCTATAGCCAAGATGTGGAAGCAACCCAAGTGCCCATCCACTGCTGAATGGATAAAGATGTGGTATATATATATATATATATACAATGGAATACTACTCAGCCATAAAAAAACCAAAATCGTTCATTTACAGCAACATGGATGGACCTTGAGGGTACTATGTTAAGTGAAATAAGCCAAACAGAGTCAAACACCATATGATTTCACTCAAATGTGGAAGATAAACAAACACAGGGATACAGAGAACAGATTAGTTGTTACCAGAGGAGAAGGGGATTGGGAGTGGGCATAAGGGGTAAAGGGGCACATATGTATGGTGACTGACAAGTAATAAAGTACAACTGAAATTTCACAATGTTATAAACTATTATGACCTCGATAAAATTTTTAAAGATGAAAAGAATAAAAAACATTGCGCATATTAGTAAATTATAACTATACTTATATATAGAAAGAAATGTGGCAAAATCTAGAAGTTCACTGTAATATTCTTGTAATTTTTCTGGGGTCTGAAACTTTTTCAAGGTAAAAAGTTCAATAAAATAAATAAACAAGAGAAAAAAGAAGAGATCAAGAAGGGCAGAGCAGGGTGTGGCTGCAGAGATGACAAGGCCAGAATTAGAGGGCTTCACAGGTCGTTTTCAGGTTCGGGGGCCTCTAGTCTGAGATGAAAGGGAAACTACTGAAAAGTTTTAAGGAGGGTGGAGGTGACATGATTAAAGTTGCATTTTGAAAGGATTACTCTACCTGGAGAAAGAAAAGGAGGCAGGAAGGGAGTAGAGTGGGGCCGAGGTTGAATATGTAGGAGTCAGGAGGCAATTGCAGTGTTAGGCTAGAGGGTCTTAACCTCAGCTATACCTCTTTAAAAATCCACGTGCCCAGGATATACCCAATGCAATTAAATCAGACTCACCTCCCCGGGGGGTGGGTACCAGGAATGATAATTTTTAAAACTCCCCAGATAATTCCATTGTGCAGCCAAATTTCCGAACCTGTGATTTAGGCAACTTACGACGGGTGGTAGCAGTAGAGAGAGTATTAGGTGGATCTGAGAGATACTTACGTGGCGATTATGTCGTAAACAACAATCAGGCAGGCAAAAAGCTGGTCTGCAAGAGACTGAACTGAGAGATGTTACAAATCCGAGCCCTGATGGAGAAAAGAGCTGAGACTGAATCATGCATTTGTTTAAATCAAGAGACTGACTCTGGAGGGTGGCCCAGTGGTGTAGTGGTTAATTTTGCAGGCTCCACTTTGGCAGCCCAGGGTTTGTGGGTTCAGATCCTGGGCACAGGCCTACAACACCTCTCATCAAGCCATGCTGTGGTGGCCCTGAGCTAACATCTGTGCCCATCTTCCTCTGTTTTATATATGGGACACTGCCACAGCATGGCTTGGTGAGTGGTGTGTAGGTCTGTGCCCAGTATTTGAACCCATGAACTCCTGGTCACCGAAGCAGAGTGCCCGAACTTAACCGCTATGCCTCTGGGCCGGCCCTGTGTAGGCTTTTTATCTTAACCATTTGACCAGTCTTTGTGATTAGATTATAAGGGCAGAGCATATGCCTAGATTAGCAATGATTTGCATTTCTTGTTCAGTTCTTATTTCTTATTTGGGAATTGTCGAAGAATAGATTAAATATAGATCATGATAGATCACGACTATTGCTTAAGAAATTCTTTCTCAGCACATAGGAGTTCATTTGTTTGTTTAGGAAACATTTATTAAGCACTGACGGTGTGCAAGACACAGTGGAGAACTCCTAGCCTGGGAGGATGAGAGGGCCCATCAGATGAGAGCTACCCTTATATACATATAAGGGGCCAAATAATTCAAAGAACTCATTTTTCCAAAGTGAAATATATGCTTTCAGTAGCAGTGTGACCCCGAGCCTCTCTGACCTTGAGTTTTCTCATCTGCAGAAGGGATGAAAATGGGAGCTTCCTAATAGAATTGAGATAGCCATAAAAAGGATTTAGAATTGTGCCCGTACCTAACATTAATAAACCTTCAAAAAGTTAGCTATTAATTATTGATCAAGAGTAAACATGTGCCATTGTAAATATTTTTTTAAAAACCTAATACAATGGAGTTGCATCTTATACTGAGATATAAATTCTAAAAGTAGTGCATAAGGTAATAATCACGTGTAATCAAAGTTATGCTTGAAAATCTCAAACTCTTCAAAGTGATAATATTAAATGATGTTAATTAAAGTATTTGAAATATGTGGGATTCTGCAGCAAGTTGGTTATATTTTCTCTGTGGTTCTCAATTAATTCTTCATTTTATTTTTCAATGATGACTTTCAAAGAAATCACCACCACAAATCCACTTGAACAATAATTTCACTTTGTCAAATGGTAAGGAAATCCAAAAAATCATTTCACACATTCTTTCCTGAGTCCTCCTCAACCCTAGACCTGGATAGCATATTTCGGGCTTGATAGCATCCACCGTCCGCGTATATACTCACTAAGCGGAATGACAGAAGGAAACTCTCAAAAAGTTTGTTGTATGTTCTCAGAACGTTTATTGAATTTCCTGGTTAAATGCGCGTATAATTCAGCTCTGTTGTAACTCCTACAACAAGGATCACAAAGGCTGTTGACTAGGATTCCTCATGCTTCTAAACTACTTTAATATATTTCCCTGGAATACAATGCAATCCTCAAGACAGTCAGAGTTGCTATTTAACTCCTTTTAATAAGACTTGAGAAGTTATATGGTTACCAACTACAGACAGACTAAAAAAGATTACAAACTAAATTAGATTTTAAAAAATCCTCCAGAGATGGCATTTCTAATCATACTACCTGGGTTAATAAAATGTTATCCATTCTTAATATGATGAAATGTTTATTTCTTTCAATGCTGTTGAAATGCCGTGGAAGGTGGAATCGAACAGCGAAATGATTAGGGACTTTGGGGCCTGATAAGCCTGGGTCAGATGTGGGCTCCTCATCTCACAAGTCCTGTAAGCTTGGGCTAGTTAACTAAGCTCTTGCCGCTGGTGATAATATCAGTGGGCCTCTGAAGGTTACTGTGAATATTAGAGTTAACGTGAAAAGACACCTAACACAGGGCGCAGCACTGAACATACGACAGTTTGTTTACACTGCTATCATGGGGACCCTGTGGCTTGGTTCTGTAAGAGCAGATGCACGATTGATGTGCTCGACCCCAGCGACCCTAGCCCTCCTTGAACCCTTACCTTTAGATAAGCAGAGCTGTTAGGGATTCTCGATTACCTACGAGATCTGCAGGTAAGGTCTGAGGAAATCCAGTGGGTGTGAATTTCAGGATGGTAACAATTGCAGTTTGATACGAAGATGATACAAAGTGGCCTGTTTATAATGTAGGACTTAAAGAGTTTGGATATCTAGAATGCAAATTTGTGATTTATTTCATTTTCCTTACATCTTGGCATAATTCAATAATTTACCTCTGCATCGGAGATTGAACCACAGAAATAACATTTTGACTAAGCCCTTTATTTGCACATTTTAAAAATATATTCCTTTGTCTTAAATCTCATAAATTAGCTTGTTGTTGCACACAATTGTTGTTGAAAGGACAATGTGTTAAAATTTAGGAGTGAGTAATCTTAAAATAAATCATTAATTTGTTTTAAATTCCAGATTGGGACCAGAAATTAGCCACAGTTTCATCGAACCCTAGACCGCTTAATTCACTGCCTGAGCTCTACTGTTGTGAAGAGAGGAAGCTCTGAAAGAAAAGCTTTTTAGCTAAAATGACCATGGCATTTGAACAAAACAACATGTGATGTTCTTAGGTGGCTCTTCGGAACTAAAATAATGGTTACCAAACTACTTTTAATTTAAGTGTGTATCCGGATGGCTATAATCCTAAAATATTTACATGTTGCAAATTCTTTTCAGATTAAGTGGGTCAGCCTAGGGCAGGGAATCAAGATCCAGCCTTAAGAGGACTCGTCATCTCTTCTCAGCCTCAAGACTAGTGTTGTTGCTGGTGCTGGCAAACCTTCTTCCATTTAGTCCAGTGGTCGTCTGCTCAATAATTGCATGACTGCTTAGAAAACAAAAAACAAAAAAGAACCTGGGTATGTAGCCAAGGGAGAAGACTACCAGCACCAGAGACTGAAGGTGCTCTGGGTGCAGAAACCCAGATATGGCACAGGGCTTTAGTGAGATGTGGGACTGGTCAAGAGAAGGATTCATTGAAAGTCTGTAGACAGAAGAGTTAGCACCCCTACGTTGGCAAGAAGAAAGCCTGACAACTAGGCATCAACTCCCCAGGCAAAAAAGCTAGAGGGTCTTCTCTAAAGAAATGAAACTATCCCAAAGAAAAGAATCCTTCATCTGGCCCCTAGGAATCCCCCAGCATGCTAGTTGGTTCCCTACTCAATATCCCAAAGTGAAGCCTACCAGTTAACAAACTTCCCACAAGAACAGTTTCATATAGCTTCCCATTGCCTTAGTCTTAGATGAGAAGAGCCAAGCAAGGGTGACCAGAGTTGAAAAAGTCATGCAACATAAAAGACAAAGACAAAATAAATGGAAGAAACAATTCCAGAGGAAGGAGAATTCAGGGAACACAAAACAACCTAAGAACTTTAACATATGACAAAGGGATGTGTCAAAAGAATGACATCCATAAACATTGAAAAGCAATCTTTCCAAAGCTCTCGGAAATTAAACATATGATTACTGAAATTAAAAATTTGACAGGATTGGGAGAAAATTCTGAAAAACTCTATATAGAATAGAAAAACAGGTAAAATGATTTTTTAAAAAAAGAAGAGACATAGAGTAAGTCAGGAGACCCACCATCTGACTAATAAGCATTCTAGAGACAGAACAGAGAAAAAATTATCAAGGAAGCATTTTCACAGAGCTTAGGACCGGAAGCCTCCCAAAGGAAAGGGCTTCTGCTGTTCTCCAGCACATGAAAGAATTTATAAATTAAAAAAAAAAAAAAAAAAAAGCCTTTTGGTTGCATTGATTTTCTGTCTTTTCTCCATTCTCTATTTTGTTTTTCTCCACTCTAATCTTTATTGTTTCCTTCCTTTCGCTGGCTTTGAGTTTAGTTTGCTTTCTTTTTCTATAAAGCTAGGTTGTTGATTTGAGATCTTCTTTTACTGCAATAAATTTCCTATGGAGCACTGCCTTTGCTGCATCCTGTAAGTTTTGGTATGGTGTGCTTTTGTTTTCATTTATCTCTAAGTATTTCCTAATTTCTCTTGTGATTTCTTCTTTGACTTATTGGTTTAAGTGTGTTTTTAAATTTCCACGTATTTGTGAATTTTCCAGTTTTCCTTCTCTTATTGATTTCTAGCATCATGCCATTGTGCTCAAAGAAGATACTTTGTAGGATTTCAGCATTTTTAAATCTGAGACTTGTTTTGTGACCTAACATACGGTCTATCCTGCTGAGTGTTCCATGTGCATTGAGAAGAATGTATATTCTGTTACATTTGGGTGGAGTGTTCTAGTGATGTCTGTTAGGTCTAGTTGGTCTATAGTGTTTTCAAGTCCTCTATTTCTTTATTGATCTTCTGTCTAAATGTTCTATGAATTATTAAAAGTGGGGTATGAAGTCTCCAACTATTGTACAACTATTTCTCCCTTAGAATCTACCATGTTTGCCTCATATATTTGTGGCTCTGTTGTTTGGTCAGTTTATGTTTATATCTGTTACATCTTCTTGAAGAATTGACCCCTTTATCAATACGTAATGTCCTTTGTCTATTGTAATAGTTTTTGACTTAGTCTATTTTGTATGATATTAGAATATCTTTTTCCACTCTTTCAACATATTTGTATTTTTGGATCTAAAGTGAGTCACTTGTAGAGAGCATACAATTGGGTCACTTTTTTATTTTTATTTTTTATTTTATTTATTCATTTATTTTCAGATGTACATCATATTTCGAATTCTGTGTACATTACATCATGTTCACCACCCTAAAATTAATTATAGTGCATCCCCTCACATGTGAGTCTAATCACCCCTTTTGCCCTCCCCCCTCCCCCCTCCCCCCCCATGGTAACCACCAATCCAATCTCCATTGCTATGTGTTTTTTGTCATTGTTTTTATCTTCTACTTATGATTGAGAACATATGGTATTTGACTTTGTCCCTCTGACTTATTTCACTCAGCATAATACCCTCAAGGTCCATCCATGTTGTCACAAATGGTCGGATTTCATCATTTCTTATGGCTGAGTAGTAGTCCATCATGTAGAAATACCACATCTTCTTTATCCATTTGTCCCTTCATGGACACCTAGGTTGCTTCCAAGTCTTGGCTATTGTGTATAATGCTGCAGTGAACATAGGGGTGCAAGTATCTTTATGCCTTTGTGTTTTCAAGTTCTTTGGATAAATACCCAGCAGTGGGATAGCTGGATCATATGGTAGATCTATGCTTAATTTTCTCAGGATACTCCATACTGCTTTCCATAGTGGCTGCACCAGTTTGCACTCCCACCAGCAGTGAACAAGGGTTCCCTTTTCTCCACATCCTCTCGAACATTTGTTGTTTCCTGTCTTTAATTGCTTCTCAGCCTTTTGGCTAAGATCAAGTGTAGGTCACTTTTTAAAAAAATCCATTCTACCAATCTTTGCCTTATGATTGAAAAGTTTAATCCATTTACATTTAAAGTAATTACTGATAAGGAAGGACTTACTTTTGTCATTTTGCTATTTGTTTTCTGACTGATACCTCTTTTCATCCCTCATTTCCTCCATTACTGCCTTCTTTTGTTTTTAGTTGATTTTTTGTAGTGTTTTGATTCTCTTATTATTTCCTTTTTTGTATGTTTTTTAGATATTTTCTAAGTGGTTACTCTAAATTTACAATTAGCACCCTAAATTTATAACAATATAATTTTAATTGATATCAACAGCATTGATGGCATACAAAAACTTTGCTCAATTCCCCTTCCTCTTATTATTGTTACAAATTACATTTTATACAGTATGGCCAATAACATAAATTTATAACTTTTTTATGCATTTGTCTTTTAAGTCATATAGGAAATAAAAAGTGGATTTAACAAACCAAAAATACGTTAATACTGGCTCATAGTATTTACCTTTACTGGAGATCTTTACTTCTTCATTCAGCTTCAAGTTACTCTCTAGTTTCCTTTCATTTCAACCTAAAGCGCTCTCTTTAGCATTTCTTGAAGGGCAGTCTATGGGTAATGAACTCCTTCTGCTTTTGTTATTCTAGAAATGTCTTAATTTCTCCATTTTTGAAGGATAGTGTTGCTGCATATGGAATTCTTGGTTGGTACTGGGATTTTTGGTTTGCTTTTGTTTGTTTAAGCAATTTAAATAAATATCCCACTGCCTTCTGTCCTCCATAGTGTCTGATGAGAAATCTGTTACTAATCTTACTGAGGATCTCTTGTAATGATGAGTCAACTTCTCCCTTGCCACTTTCAAGATTCCCTATTTTTGTTTTTCTAACAGTTTGATTATGTGTCTCAGTGTGGATCTGTTTTGAATTTACCCTACTTGCGGTATGTTGAGCTCTTTGGATTTGTAGATGCATGTTTTTCATCAAAATTTGGAAGTTTTCTACCATTATTTCTTCCCTCTCTCTTCTCTTTCTAGTACTCCCACAGTGCATATGTTGGCTCACTTGGTGGTGTCCCACAGGTCCATTAGGCTCTGTTCACTTTTCTTCATTCTTTTTTCTTTCTGCTCCTCAGATTGGATAATCTAAATTGTCCTGTCTCCAAGTTCACTGGTTCTTTCTTCTGCCTGCTCAGATCTTCTGCTGAATCCCTCTAGTGAATTTTTGATTTTAATTCCTGTATTTTTCAGAATTTCTATTTGGTTCCTTTTTATAATTTCTCTTTATTGAGATTCTCATTTTGTTCATACATACATCATTTTTTTCTGGTTTCCTTTTGTTCTTTTGTATGTGGTTTTATTTGGTTTTTTTTTTTTTTTTAGCTCTTTGAGCATATTTAAGACAGTCATTTTAAAGTCTTTGTCTAGTAAGTGCAGTATCTGGGCTTTCTCAGTGGTGGTTTCAATTTTTTTTCCCTGTGAATGGGTGATATTTTCCTATTTCTCTGAGATTTTTTTTGTTGTTGAGAAACAGACACTGGAATATTATAATGTGGTAACTCTGGAAACAGGTTCCCTCCCTTCCCTGGAGTTGGCTGTTCTTGACTGTTGAAGGCTAAAGTCATCTGTTTGTTTAGTGAATTTTCCAAACTATTTTTGCAAAGACTTTACTCCTTGTCACGTTGGTCACTGAAATCTTTGTACCTTTAGCTTGTGTTCACCTAGTGTTTTGAAAAAGATTTCCTTTAATGCTAGGAGCTAACACACACACACGTGCGTGCACACACACACATAAGCTAGTCTTGGCGGATTGATTGTCCTGGGGCATTTCTTCAACACTTAGCCAGGCCATTTAAACTCTGCCTTAGCCTTCCTTCTTATACTGAACCTACAGATCAGTCAAAGGTGAAAGCTTATGGTCTTCACAGGTCTTCTCTGAGCATGTCTCCTGCCCTGGGCATGCATGTGGTTTTCTATATTCCCCAATATACATGGGCACTTTTGAATGAACTAATTTCTTAAAGAAACTCTCCCCTGTACTTCCTGCCTGGCTTTAGACAGTCTACTGTATGCCTCAACTGTAATCATTTGTCCTAGGTAGCTATGGGTCTTTGTTTGCCTCACAATGTTTTTGAGCAATGCCCACTACTTTCCACCCTAGTTGAGTTCCAAGTTAGGTAAAACAGAGATGAGTGCTTGTGTCAGCCCTTCAGGTAGCCCCAGACAGGTTTAGACAGAAACACATAATAATTGGCAGATAAGGTCTGCTTTGCTCCCTCTCTCCAGAACGAAGGACCAGAGTCCCACATTGGGAACACAGGTTGCTGGGGAGGGAATGGGGCAAGAGCAAGTAAAAACACTACAAAACTTTCCTACTGTTTTAAATTTGCCTTTTTCTTGATCAGCATTTGTTTAGTTGCTGTAAAACTGTTTTCCAGAGTTCTGAAAAAGTTGGTTCTGATGGTCCCTCCTTGGTTTTCTATGTTTCTGTGGAGGGAAGGGTATTGGGAGCTGTATATTCTGCCATTTTGTTGACATCACTTTTAATGCTAAAATTTATACGGAATGCAAAAGACCCAGAATAGACAAAAGAATCTTGCCAAAGAACAAAGAGGACTTACACACTCAGTAAATTTCAAAATATACTGTAAAGCTATAGTAGCAACATCATGTGGTACTGATATAAGGTTAGAGTTGCTAAAGCAGTTCAATGGGGAAAAGACAGTTTTTTGAAATGGTGCTGGGACAATTGAATATCCACACACAAGAAGACTTTAGACTCTTACCTCACACAATACAGAAAAATGAATTCAGAACAAATCACAGACCTGAATGTGAGAATTAATACTATTAAAGATTTAGAATAAAACAAAGGAGAAAATTTTCATGACCTTGGGTTAAGCAATGATTTTTGTGTGTGTGTGTTGAATATTGGACTCAAGTTAACATCTGGTGCCAATCTTCCTCTTTTTGCTTGAGGAAGACTGTCACTGAGCTAACATCTATGCCAATCTTCCCCTATGTTGCATGCCAGATGCCACCACAACATGGCATGATGAGTGGTGTGTAGGTCCATGCCCGAAATCTGAATCACTCTGGGTCACCGAAGTGGAGGACGCAAACTTAACCACTATGCCACTGGGTTGGTCCCAAGCAATGATTTCTTAAACATGATACCCAAAACACAATCTATAAAAGAAACAATTAATAACTTGGACTTATTCAAAATTTAAAACTTTTACATTTCAAAAGATACCACTAAGAAAATGAAATGAGAAGCCATCAGACAGGAAGAAAATATTTGCAAATGATATATCTGATAAAGAAATTATAATTAAAACCCAAATAATCTACTTCAAT